AACAACGAGGACCTAAAAGGTCCCATCTCTCGCATATTGCAGGAAGTGGCTACAAAGACTTTGGTGGGAGAGGAACAGAAGTATTCTTTGCGGCCTGAGGTTCTCGTCCGTCGATTCGATCTCTTCTATCCTTCTTACAGACTGGAAGTTGCCACCCAAGTACGTGTTTTAACAATTACTTCCTACTGAGAAGTGTGCAGTAGCGTGCGCTAGAGTTCATCCTCATTTATTCCTTTAAAGGCTAAGGAGACGGTAGTTACGACGTTGACGCAGGCTCGTAAAGTCAACTCAACCCTCTTCCCGGTGGGTTTCCCCATTCCGCCACCACCACCTTGTCCTCGACGACGTTTTGTCGATCACCTGAATGCACCAATCCTGCGGCTGCTTCGCTGTCCAACTTTTATCCGCCTCCTTCGTCAACTGTTGGACATTGGCATCAAGTATGGGAGCCAACAGTCGAGATGGTCCGACACCCTTCTTGAGCTGGTCCTCCATCTGATAATTATCGCTCTCTACGAGGACTTTGTAGCATTCGTGTAAGTTATGGAATTTGACAGGTTTAGCGACTGTGGTGTGCATTCTGATCATAAAGTCCGTTAGTTCTTATCCTCTTGGCTTGTCTTCTCTAGGGAAACTGGCGAAAGACCCTTCCTGAAAGCGGTCTGTCTGGTGCCTGAAGAATCCGAGAGTGCCGAGGAATTGGAGCACCTTGCAGAACCTCGGCACTGGGAAAGGCCTGACCATTCCGCTTCGACAAATTAGTACGTGCAGTTTCATTTTATTGTCCCTAGTTATTTATTTATTGTCGGTTTACAGGCAATTTTAAAAATTGAGTTAATTAGTAAAGCATCTCTTGGGCGCTTTCCAAAACCTCGAAGACAGGAAAAAGGTAAGACAAACTCCGTCTATTGTAGTCAGTATTGGTTTTGTTTTAGTCTTGTGATTGCTCAATAGTGGGCGAAATAGGGAGTTGGTTTCAAATGAAAAATAACTGACTTCAAAGGTACGATATTAACGAAAGATATGTACGGTTTTATGTCGAGTTGACAGTTTAGCAGAAACAAAACTGCAGGAACACAGTGTTCTTAGTTTTCCTTGAGTGTAATGGTTTCGAGATTTTGCACCAGCGGAATGCTTGTCGACGAACAGGGGCTCGCTGTCGGCTGAAGAATAAGCCAATTGCGGGCCACAGATTCAGCACCATTATCTTCAGCATGAGGTCGGGCAGGTTTCAAAGCCCACGAACGCCATATATGTACATTATATAAATCGTTCGTATCTACACAACCTGTTTAGCTCAGAACAAGTACTGAAGGAAATGGAGGCACGGAAAGCCAGTGTCATGACTTTCGTCGCAGAGATGCATAGCTGCAGCTGGAACCCGACAGGTGTTGACGATGTAACGAAGTGGCTGGAGGAGACGCTAGAGGACAGGCTCACAGAAGCAATAGCAGCAATTAATGCAGAGAAAGCAGCTGCAGCAACAGCCACAGAAGTAGAAGTATCGGTAGCAGAAGTAGCAACCACAGAAGCAACAGAGGTAATAGAAGCAGATGCAGCGGCAACAGAAACAGAGGAAGCAACGGAGGCAATGGCAACAGAAGTGGGGGCAACTGCAACAGAAGCAGCAGAGGCAGCAACGGAGGCAACAGTAAGAGAATCAGAAGGAGTAACACCAGGGGCAACAGTAACAGCAGCAGGAAGAACAACAGCACAAGAGTCAGCATCAGG